GGAAAATAAACATTCGATTCATAGCATTCGTGGCTAAAAATAGAGTTTCATAATGTCAAATAACTTCTGAATGTTCCAATGTTTTTTTTTTATATTTTTTCCATCTAGATATCAAATAAGTAAGAAATTAAGATAAGAGTATGCTGGAATAAGTTTCAGTCTCAGCTAGCAGTTACTAGCAGCTCAGAAATGCCTGAAATATCCACCTTCCTTCAGGCCTGACAGGAGGCCCTGCAGGATGGGGTGAAACCACATTTCTTGAATGTGTTCCTAGTCCCTTGTGGTTAGTATTGCCAAACAGGCCAGCCAAGAAACTGAGAGTCAGGGGCTTCAAGGCATGAAACCCCTGACTCAGTAAGGGCTAAAGACCCTTCCAGATTGCTTTCTGATAGGACAGCAATATTTAGAGTTTCCTCACAGTGAGGTTACAATTAGGCCGAAGATGATTGGCTTATGGATATTGCCTTGCTTATGTATGATTGACAGGCACGCCCCTCTCAAACCCTATAACTGTTAGGTGCATTCCAAAAATAAACTGAGCTACTGGATGAGGACCTGAGGCGGGTCTCCAGCCAATTCTCTCACCAGCTCCCAGAGTCTGTGTGTGTTGATTCCGCGTCTCTACCCCCTGCAACAAGGTAGCCGAGTGACCATCGATCATGAAGGGACTAGGAACACATTCAAGAGTATATTTTCTTTTCAGCCTTAATATTATCAATATTTCTCTGTTAGAAAGCCTTGCACAATTAGGCAAGGGAATTTATTTTCCTTCCTTGCTATTTATCTGTACCTCTGCTGCACTCTCTGAAAGTCTGACTTTTGTTGGGTTGTATTGTTGACATTTCTATTCTTCCATCAATGAGCAATCTGTGTCCTTGTGGTAGTACGCAGACTCTTTACACACCACCAGGTTAAAGTATAGGAGGTAATTTGCAGTTCTTTGCTTGACACACAATTAGGCTTGTTCAATTCCTATGGGATCCACTACAGAGTGATGAAAGGGACTCCTAACATCCATACTCTGGGACTAGGATAGAGGGTTACTATGCTTTCTTTGTCCCTTTTCTGTTCACTTCTCTCTGATAGTTTAAACAATCACTTACTCAACAGCACCGTGTAACTTTTATTTCTTTCTCTCGCTTTTTGTCTTTCCTATTTTTCTTCCTATTCCTCATTTCACTTGTTACTGGCTTTATGTATCATAAGTTTCAAAAGTCCAAGGATGGACTTTTACCCTTCATAGAGACTGCATTCTATTCACAGCAACAGTTTTGTTTTGCTTTGTTTTCTATAGTTGTCTAGCCTGTAGGCTTTTCCCTGGAAAGTTTGCTGTTTTAGTCAGTTTTCTTTACTGCTGTGACCAGAAGACCTGATAAGAAGAATTACAGAAGGAAAAGGTTAATTGGGGGATCATAGTTTCAGAGCTCTGAGTCCATAGATGGTCACCTCCTTCATCTGGGCCTGGAGGTAAGGCAGAACATCATGGTGGAAAAGTGTTTGTGGAGGAACATGGCTCAGGACATGTCACCAGAAAGCACAGAGAGGGAGAGAGATCCACTCATCAGGGGAAAAATAAATAACCCAAAGGCATATCGTTAATATCACCCCCTCTAGCCACACGCTATTTACCTACAGTTACAACCCAGTTAATCCCTGTCAGGGAATTAATGCACTGATTAGGTTAAAACTCTCGTAATCCATTTCATCTCTGAACACTCTCGCACTGTTTCACATGTGACCTTTTGGAGGATACCTCATATATAAATTATAATATTTACCCAGAAACTACTTCTTACACATTAAAAACTATTTGGGCCTGATCCAGTGATGCAGGGCTATAATACCAGAGGCTCCACAGACTGAGGCAAGAGGGTCACAGGTTCAAAGCCAACCTCAGCAAAGGCAAGGCACAAAGTAACTCAGTGGCACCCTATATCTGAACAAAATACAGAATAGGGCTGTGGATATGGCTTAGTGGTGGAGTGCCCCTGAGTATATCCAGTAACCCCCTCAAAAAAAAAAAAAAAAAAAAAACTATTTGGATTTAAGTCAGTATTTAAGGCCAGAATTACTTTAAAAACCTGAGGATTTTACAATCTGATTTTTTGGTATCCATTAGTTCACAATTTGTTGTATTGTTTTCTCTTTCCTGTGCATTTATAACCCTTATATGTCTAGGAATATGATTTTTTTCCTATAAGATGAATGATTTGCATGATATAATTTTATAATATCTTAGCCATGTCAGGAGTTTGTTACACATTTTGAGCCTACCTGGCTAAATAACTACAGATTTTATTTTTTTTCCATGATACCAATGAAAATGTCTCATAAGCCAATTTTTATTTATAAATGTCTACGTAATAGTATGCTCTAACAAATTGGATGGATGAATATTGAGTATGAGTCTAGTGCTGTGGCATCACAAAGTCTTTAATATGCTATAATTATAATAATTATACTTATTAGTGGGATAGATAGTGCTATATGTGATCAGCTCTGTTAACTTAATGGCGGAAATTAACCAAGCCAGAAAGTTTAGTGATATGCTTAGAAAACTCATTGTGCATCCAAGCCTGAATAAAACTCTCAATGAATGAACTAACCCTGAGGCAAGAGCACAGCTGCCTTTTAAAATAATTTTAATTTTGAGATATTGTAGATTCACATGCAGTTGTGAGAAAAATCTTTTAAAAATTCTTTGTACCCATTACACACTTTCCCAACTGGTAACATCCTGGGAAAAAATAAAACATTATAACCAGGTTATTAAAATGATAGATTTGCCCATCTTCTTTAGACTTCACTAGTTTTACTTGTGCAGATTTGTGTGTATGAGTGTGCTTAGTTCTATGCAATTCTATACACATGGGTATATTCAAAATTATGAACAGTTTCAACATCACAAGGGTTCCTCTTGCTGCCATTTAATTACCAAATTATCACCACATCCCCATTTCCAAACCTCTATAAACTACAAGTCTGATATCTATTTTTAATTTTTTGTCATTTTAGGAATTTCATATAAATGAAATTATACAAAATACAGCCTTATGATAGTGACTCTACTTTTACCTAGTATGATAACCTGAAGATTCATCCAAGTTGTTTCATGTGTCAATAATCTGTTCATTTTCATTTTTATTGTTAAATATCATTTCATACTATGAATGTAGCATATTTTGCTTTATGAATGTAATGAGGGACATCAGGGTCCCACTACTCTGGGATTATTACAAAAAATTTTCATGTATAATTGTAAACAGGTTTTTATATGTATGTAAGCTTTAATTTCTTTGATATAAATATACAAATAAGATTTTCTGGGTTGAATTATGATTTTTGTTTTATGAAAAACTTCAAATTTCATATTTACACCAGCAGTGTTTATGAAACCCAGTTGTCAGCATTCTTGTTAGGTTTAATATCATGATTGTGTTAGTTTCAAATTTGAGATCATTCCAGGTGCAGTAGCACAAACCTATAATCCCAGAAGTTTAGGAAGCTAAGGCAGGAGGATTGATAGTTCAAAGTCAGGCTCAGCAATTTAGCAGGGTCCTATGCAACTCAGAGAGACCCTGTCTCTAAAAAAAATAAATAAAATGGGCTGGGAATGTGATTCAGTGGGTAAGTGCCCCATGTTCACATTCTGGTACCAACATAATAATAATAATAATAATAATAATAATAATATAAAATTTGAGATAACATTATCTTCCCTTTCTGAATATGGATAATTAAAAATATTTCTTCATACTGTCTCATTGTAAAAATTGTCATATACAATCCAAGATCATAGTATGTTATTAGAAGTCAATGTCCATGTATGATCTACAAATAAGGACTGACAGATTCACTTGACAATTAAATTTGCTCTGATCCCCTGAAAGATGAAGAACAAGCGTTCCTTAAAGTAGTTCTGAATTTCAACTGAGAAGTATGACTGTTGTAGCTGGACAAATACTGTAACCTAAATCATTAAAGTAATTATAAAATGCAAAACTGAATATTGTCAATGCTTTCATAATCCAGTACAAGAGTGAATAAAAAAGAAAAACGTTTTATACACATGTTATAAACATATTTTTGATACCTAATTCAAATTAGTAGGTATCTTTTATAGTTATAGAATAAAATACTCAGCCTGCATTATTAGATGATTCAACAGATGTACTTCATGGGAAAACATGAGCTCTTACCATCAATTCCACAGTGAAGTTGTATAACGCTTAATAGGTAGTTGTCATGTTATTCTTAGATCAGTTTTCATTTAGGAATAACTGGAATATAACATAGTGGTATTTTATTATTCAAATTGTGTCAGAAAACATAAGCACAATGAAGCCAGTATGGTAGATCCATAATAGCAGTGCCTAAAATATGGTATTTTAAATTGTGTAAATAACTTTAAATTACATTTTAATGCACAGGGTCATAGGCATATTATGATATAATTTTTAGAGAGATAATTATGTCATCATTATGTAGAATCCATAATGATTCAAAGTCTGGGTAAGACATAAAAAGGGTGCGAATGTTTGGAAATAACTTGAATGGCTCTTTTGATGCCATGGATTAATTAATGCCATTTCCCAATTTAAACACAAACTATTCCATTTGCAGTTTCTTGAACTTTTCTGGTCATGCAATCTCTGCCTTAGGCATATCCTTGTTTAAACCACACAATTAATACCCATGTGATTTGTGAGGATAAATGTACATACCTCTCCTGGTTATGTGAGGGTTAAACAAATTCCTACACGTTTAAAGACCATATAAAAATACCTTAGATCCAAATGTTCTATTTTGGACATTTTAGTACATTTTATAGCAGAGGAAGAAAGCAAAGAATATATTTGATACACAAATTTAAGATTTAAATTTAGTATGATCTTCCTTTAAGCTTTCCATAGATATTTAAGCATATCCGTATTCTGTGTTCAAATTAATCATGTACTAAATGTCATCGCACACTAAAATTTGTTTTCCTGAATGCACAGGTACCTCTGTTCTACAGGTGACAGCTACTGATGCAGATGACCCTACCTATGGAAACAGTGCTCGAGTGGTTTACAGTATTCTCCAGGGACAACCCTACTTCTCTGTAGATCCCAAAACAGGTCAGTGTGTTTAAAAATAATCTTTGGTCAAGTTCTGTTATAATAGAACAAATCAAAGTTTTTAAAATTTATAATTTCTCTTCCTAATCACATATTGTATTTTAACACATTTGAAAATATACCCAATTTTCTAAAACAATGTAATTGAATAAAGATAATAGCTTTCTTTATTATTTTAGTAACCCACACATGTACATTAAGAAACAACTTATCTTTGAATATTCCTATAATATATAAGTAAACATGGTTTAAAACAAATACAGAATATCATATATATATTGAATGAGATATTTAAACTATTTTTAACAATTGGTTTTAATTATTTGCAAAAGAAAATAATTGCTTCATTAAGATTTTTTCATAGTTTTATTTAAATTTAGTTGTCACATAAATTATCAGATACACATAAGTATATATTGACATATATATTCACATGCATATATATGTATAATTATACTGAAGTAATTTGTATGCCATGCATATATATGTATAATTATATAAACATGCATATATATATGTATAATTATACTGAAGTAACTTGTATGCCATGAATTGGCACTTTTCATAATAAGCAAATTCTTAATTCCTCAGATATTATATATCTAAAAGAAATTAATTGAGAATTACTCCAAAGAACTATACTTCTTTTTTTTTCAAGTAAAAAATATATATCTTGTTCTCTTTCTTTCATGTACTCCTGGGAAACTAATCATTCATATCTTATCATTTAAAATTGGGAATGAGGCCAGGTGCAGTGTAGCACACCTGTAATCCCAGAAGCTCAGGAGTCTGAGACAAGGAGGATCAGGAGTTCAAAACCAGCTTCAGCAAAGGCAAGGCACTAAGCAACTCAAGGAGACACTATCTCTAGATAAAATACAAAATAGACCTAGGGATGTGACTCAGTGATTGAGTACCACTGAACTCTATCCCCTGTACCAAAAAAAAAATGGGAATGAAGAATATTTAATAATGCATTACAGATTTGTGGTGTCAGCATAATCCAAAACCAATTTAAAAAGAGGGTGTCCTTTCAGGGATCGGTGGCACACATCTGTAATCTCAGCTACCTTGGAGACTGAGGCCAGAGGATCCCATGTTTGAGGCTAACCATGACAAACCTTGTCTCAAATTAAAATTAAATAAAAAGAAGGACTGGGACTGTAGAACAGTGTAGAGCTCTTTTGGGTTCAATCCCCAGTAGTCCTCCCTGCCACAAATTAAAAAAAAATAGTCTTCACTAGCAATCATTTTATCCCTAGAATCTTGGAATATGAATATATATATATATATATATATATATATATATATATATATATATATATATATATATATATATATATCTCCATCCCATTTGGCCATAAATACTCATTACTTTAAGGTAATTACATGACATCCAACCCATTTTTTTATGGAATACTGCTCCATGTGCCAATAGATTGCCGCTTTGTTTACCAATTGTGTGAGACAATGAGGTACATCCAACTAAAAAGATTCAATTCCTAAGCACACTTCAAAGCCTACCCACTGGGTTGTTTGCCAGGAGTTTTATCATTATCTTGTTTACAAGAGGATTTGACTTCACTTGCCTTGTTCCTTCCCTGAGGTACTGAATGAAACAGGCAAGTTCCCTGCCAAGAGTAGACCTCAGATATACTGCTTCATTCTTTCCTTCCCAAAAGAAAATAATGAAGAACTATAGAGCTGGAAGTATAGGAGTGAAGGGTACACATACAGATGTATGTGACCACATGACATGCATATTGATTACGGTTTGGATTGTAATATGCCATTATATAAATTCAAATGGAAATTGGAATTATTATAAACAAGTAACATAATGTAATCTAAACTAAGTATGTCACATACAAGTTACTTTAGTTCCAAGGAATTACTACATAATTAGAAAAAGTGTTTATTAACATACTAACCAAATTGATAAGACAAAATTTTCTCTTATGTGTGTCCATTTTGTTAATCAGGTAGAAGAACTTAGAATTAGTTAAAAAGCTCAAATCAACTAATTAATTTACATTGATATTGGTTATTTTGTTCTGTTTCCAAAATCATCATGTTTTTATTTATATCCCTATATATAACGAAAGTTTTAATTATAGATAAATATTATATTTACTTAATACATTATTGCTAAAGCATATGCATTCAGTATGGAATATATTGGAACTCTATACTCTTATTATGCATATGATTATTTAACAAATATTAGTTCAGTGTATGTGTATGAGTGTGTGAAAGTTTGCATATGCTTTGGTAGAGCACATGACTGTGTGTGTGTTCATTTGTAAGGACAAAGCAGGACTCTGAGGGTAATGTTGGACTAGTGTTGGACTCTGCTATAGTTTGTTCTTTATTAGAAATATTTATTTTAATAGTATAATATTTCAATAAGGTTTGTATTTGGTTATGTATACTTAGTATAGATTAAGTAAGTACTTCACTAATTACCAAAAATATTTACCTTAGAAATAAATGGGTATTACTCACTTTCCTCTGCATGAAATTTTATTTGCTCTTGCATTTCTTTGCTCCTTTCTTTAAGGGATATGATGTACTGAATGAAATGCACATCTCTACAGTGATACATTTTATTCTCAGTATTAGACATGCATCATGGGAAACTGTAGATGTATGTCCTACTATGTGATTAAGGGAAGAAAGAGATTTTAAGGCATCTTAAATATGCAAATGTGGTAGGGAGTTAGTTGCAGATGGTGTTAAGAAAAGGTATGAAATAAGATTCTCATTCATCTCTTCAAAGCTAAGACTTTTTTGGCAATCTATAACCACACAATTAGACTTATTCAGAACTAATAAATTTATTTGAAATCATGCTTTCAAATGACTAGAATAAAATATGAACAAATACTCTGAAAATTAAAGAATCATTTGTTTTAAATGGGATGTTATATAAGAAATATGGTGATAGCAGTCATTTATTAATGTATGGTTTAATAGCATCTCTTAATTCCATTTCCACAATCAAAATGATTACATCTCATTGTGCTTTTCAATTACTTTCATTCAATACCAACTATAATGAAGCATAACTTTTGTCTCCAAATAGAGTTGTGACTAATTATGAATAAGACCAGTATATGAATTACCTTGTCTCCATTATATTAAAAAGTATGTATCTGTATCCATCTGATTTTCTAATGATGAACTGACTAGGATATCTTGTCCTTCAATAATATAAGTCACCTATGAATGGCTGCATCCAAAAAATAATTATAGGGCTGTTTAGTTAGCATAATATTTAGAATTTACTTTTAAACCTCTGAACATCCAACTCATTTTTTATGGAATGCTGCTCCATGTTCCATGAGTTGAAGTACCATTAATCAAATAGTGAAATCAAACAAACCTTATGGATAATTTATTGCTCTAAGTAACTTTGGTCGAGAAAACTATGGTACAATGTTTCTCAGCAGAAGACCATGAAATGAAATATCAAAGATATATTATATTTATGATCAGATTAATGTAATGACAACATTTTATAGAGATTAAATGAGTAAAATGGTTCATCATTCAAGAAGACAGGTACACCTAAGCAAGACATTATGAGGAGGGCTGCCCAAAGATAAATTGTAATAAGTGATTAGAAAATCAAATTCAAGAGCAACCTAGAATGAAGATTGCTTAGTAACAAAGCTCAAATCTCAATTCTTATTAATGTAGTGTTAACATCATTAAAAATAAGTCAATATATTAAAGATTCTGATGCATTTTCAGAATTTATGAACATTCTGTCAGGTGGTGACAGCAGAAGCTGAATTTATCAAGTTGCACAAAAGAACCCGTTCCCTTAACTTAGGCCAAAGAACCATAAATCAGTTCATTTCTCTTAATTTGTCTTTCTTTCTTTAAAATTGACAAGAATTTCCATACTACATGACAGACTGTAAGAAGAGTTTGAGATAGTCTCATCTCAGATAAAACAAACAAATAAATAAATTAAATATTTATTTAGAAAAATTTTAGTCCAAATTACTATATATATATATTTAAGAAGTAAATGTACTACTTATGATCTCTTATGTGGTAAAATGTCTTTGCAAGTATTTAAAGATGCTTTTGATAGATACCATACATAAGAGAAATACACTATTTGAAAGTTTTTTTTTTCTTGTGTATTATTGTGTAGTTGTAGTTGGATAGAATGACTTTATTTTATTTATTTTTTTATGAGGGTCCTAGAATCGAATCCAGTGCCTCACATTTGCTAAGCAAGCACTCGGCCATTGAGCTATCGATCCAGCCCTTAAAAAGTTTATAATGATAATTTAAAAGAAGAAAGAGTTAAACAGTAAAATACTCAGAATTTAACTGCAGAGTTGATTTTCCTGACTCAGAATAGTGTGTAGATGAGGCAAGCAAGCCTACTCTTTTTGAGATAGATCTGCACCTACACTAGCTTTGGTTCTCCAAGATGACCTTTCTTTAACATCTTATACTTGAAATCAATCAAGTCTAAAAACAGACTCAGAGAAGCTCTTAATGAATCCTAGAATGTAATTGAAAGCAAGGTTTTCAACATTCCTTCTTTATTCTGAGTAAGTAATTAAACTCATCAACAGTTTTGATTTTTACATAACTTTCCCAAATCTAATTTAATTTTATCAGTGAGCAAAAATACTACATTTAAAGTTACTATGAATGTTTGGAAAAAGAGAACTAAAGCATATTTAAAAGTTCTATAGATTCCAATGTTCATTTCACATTATTCTACATTAAAAAATCTGTTTGACAATTCTTTATTTCTCAAACTCACTATAAAATACTTATTAATAACTATAAAGAAAAAAGATTTGAATTATGGAACACAATATCTGAAAATGTAAAGAAAATTCCACAATAGAATATGTTTGGTTTATTTATCTTATTCATAATTCATACCAAACTAATAATAATAACAATGACAATAATGTTTCTTGACATAAATTACTATAGACACATTTTAGATAAATCATTACAAT